AGATGTGTTTGTCTGTACGAGTTGCCCTAGGTATATATACTTGTCTACCACCTCTAGCGCTTTGCCTTGAACATGTATCTCTTGGAATTGAACTCTACTGTTGAACATGATCTTAGTCTTTTTCTTGTTCATCCTAAGTCCGACTTTCAGGCTCTCTCTATTCAAATCATTTATTAGTTGCTGCATTTAATTTGCGGATTCACTGAAGAGAACAATATCAACTGCAAATCTTAGATTGTTTAGGTATTCGTCCCCAATTTTGATACCCTATATGGTCCATTCTAGCTTCTTGAATATTTCCTCAAGGCAAGCTGAAAATAATTTTGGTGAGATGGTATCGCCCTGTCTAACACCTGTCTTAATTGGGATTTTATCGGTTTCTGTGTGGAGATTGATGGTTGCTGTCCCATCTTCGTATATATCTTCTAATATTTTACAATATATCTCCTCTACTCCCTGTCTTCGAATAGCTTCTAGTACTGCTGGTATCTGTACAGAGTCAAATGCCTTTTCGTAATCGATGAATGCCATACAGAGGGGTTTCCTATATTCGTTTATTTTTTCTCTTATTTGGGTAAGTGTGTGTATGTGGTCTATTGTTGAGAATCCACTGTGGAAGCCTTCCTGTTCTCTAGGCTGGTTAGAATCCAGACTGTCAGAGATACGAGTTGTGATGAATTTAGTGAGCAGTTTGTAAGTAACTGAAAGGAGACTTATGGGTCGGTAGTTTTTTAGATCTTTCCTGTCCCCCTTTTCATGAATCAAAATGATTGTTGCATTTTTCCAGGCTTTCGGAATTTTTCCATTGAGAAGGCATTTGTTAAAAATGCCACCAAATTTTTGGTTCACATTTAGATAAAAAAAAGGTCTGCCACCAATGTCATTGTAGCAAAACAAGAAACGAATTCTTACAAAAAATTGTCGTTGCCACCACTCAGGATTTTTAAATTTTGGGGTGACCCGAGAAAACCTTCTAACTTACTTTATTCAATATTTGACGCAGATGGCGTAGCTTTGCAGTTAGGAAAGGCCATGAAGTGGCTTATTTTTACCTATTTAATCATTAAAGGGAAATGTTATACTGTTATGTGTGTGTGTGAGCGTGATTGTGAGTGTGGGTGTGTGTGTTTGTGTTTGTGTTTGTGTTTGTGCGTGTGTGTGTGTGTGTGTATGTGTATGTGTGTGTGTGTGTGTGTGTGTGTGTGTGTGTGTGTGTGTGTGTGTGTGTGTGTGTGTGTGTGCGTGCGTGCGTGCGTGCGTGCGTGCGTGCGTGCGTGCGTGCGTGCTTGCGTGTGTGTGTTCGTATTTGTATGTGTTTGTGTGTTTTGTTTATTTTTATACATATCGATAGATAAACAAGTGTGAATGTGTGTATGCACATATAACTTGGCCAGGGCGAGCGAAGCGGCAGCTGCGAGCGCAGGGGATGGTCGCTGAGGGCAGGCGTGACATGCAGGTCTGGGCCCTGGCCGCCGCCCCATCACTCCCCAAAATAACTTGGAGCTTCCCTCTCGCCATCCCCGAGGCCCTTCCCGCCATGGCCGCAGGTGCCGTTCGAAGCTTCGGCGGCCATGAAAGCGGTCTGCTCCGGGGGCTGTGTCTCGGGAATGAGCAGTGCGGAGGCAGAGAAGGAAGGAGCTGCGAGGCGGAGGAAAGGGGCAGAGACGAATCATACAAAATAAAGAAAAAAATCAACATGCAGCTTAGATCTGATTGGACTTGAGCGTAAAATTGCCAAAGCACACGTACCAGCGCTCCCTTGCCCAGCACCACTGTCTACTCTCCCTTTCGCCCATTTCCTCTCCATTTACTCTCTCTCTCGCTCCGCCACCACCCCCCCTCTCCTCTCCGTCATCCTCCTTCCACTTCGCGTCCTTCAGCAAGAGCGCGACGGAAGTCCTTTCGTCGTCTCTCCTCCAGGTACAGCTATATTACTTCAAGAGACTTTAAGGAGTGGACCTCCTCCATGAGTGCCTTTATCCTCTATAAGTTCTGTATTTGTTATACAAATTATTCCGTTTGTTTCTTTGTCTAATGCAATCCCGCATAAAAATAAATCCACCAAAAATCCATTTACACAGGGCGGCTGAAGATAATTGCGATGTTTTTCCAAGGTAATAAAGTAGTACGTTAACCACGAAAAGTATAGTCTTTCTAACGAGGTTTTCCCTTACTTTGATACACTTGGATAATGCCGTCTATAATTCCTACAGGATATTTAAACACACGACAACATGCCCACTGACATTATTATCTCAAATATCAATTATCTCCATCAACCACACTAAATTACTAGATGTTTTCCAGGTAAAATTAGTTAACCATGGTTTTTCGTCATCTTTGCCATTCTTAGTGCAATCTGTCAGTTGATAAGAAAAGTGCCGGTTGTGCGTAAAGTAGTTCAGTCGGAAACAGGAACAAAGCAAAAACAACAACAAAAGAAAATACTGACCCGAAGGCGAACTTGAGGGTAGAAGTATGGGGTGATTAACACATAGGCCTACCTGAAAAGAAAAAAAATCCTTTTTACTATCATTGTACTCTGGATACGAGGCTGCAGGATTCGCCAAACCCTGGACTAAAAAAATCGATCGTTGATACCTAACCTACTAACACTATCAACGCGGAAGAGTGTTTTACCATTCATATATATATATATATATATATATATATATATATATATATATATATATATATATATATATATATATATATATAAACATTTTTGTTGTTGGTAATTTTTTATATGATGATCTGTTATTATTAGATGTTTATTAACCATAAAAGGATACGTAGTAGTCAGTCGGGACAGCCAGTATGTCCAGTCGTCACTGCACCTCTAAACCTGAGTTGGACATAGAAAATAATGCTCACTCTTATCATAACCGCGGGAAGAAATCTGCAGTTATTATAAGTATAACTGCTTCCGGAAACACGAGTTGTTAGCTTACGGGCGATGTAAAGTGTCGTATGAGGGAAAACTGAGTGTCGCTCCTCTTTCGAGGAAGGAACCTGTTGCAGGTTACTCTCGCCGGCCATCTTTACCCCTCACTGTTACCGAAGGTCCGAGTAAAAATAAAGAGAGGAAAAGCACAGCTCAGGAGTAGAAGCCAAGGGGTACCCTCCAGTGGTTGGTCTAAAGAGAGCGAAAATGAAAGGCAGTAGAAGGAAGACGTATGCTATAGGAATGATTTATCTGCAGCTTCTCAAAGGCTCAGGTCCTGTGACTGCCGCGCCAAGTCCTGCAGTCGAACCGTATCGATCGGTCCATCGCAGTGAAGACAAACTTCTACAGAGAACCTTAAACTGCAAGGAAGCTGTGGCTAAGTGATTGGTCATTTGATGACTACATACTGATGGAATTACTTTAAAAGTAAATGAGCACTGGTACTAAAGTGAAAGAACAATTTGGCAGTTTATTGTATTTAAATTTATTGTATTTTGTATGTATCCGGTGATTAAGGAAGTTGGTGGTATGTTTTTTTTACCAGTAAATGGGCAGGAAATCAGCCATCCATTAATGCAAATGAAATTGATTTACGTAATAATGTTTCTAGAGTGTTAAACAAGTTCTTTCAAAGTATATAGATATAATAACCCAGAATAAAGATGATTCACCATAATGATAAAACAATGCCCTTACCGAAAAAGCTTTTAGGCTGAAATAACACCTGGTCTACAATGAAGATATTGTGGTAAAACAAATGCACCTGCGTTGCAAGGCCGGCTGGTGGCGAGTTACTGTGGCACAGCAAATATAGCTAGCATACAAGGCTAACAGGTTGTGGCTAGTGTTTAAAACATGTTTTGTTTTCCCCATGATCACTGGACTGCGAAGATAAGGAGCCGTTTCTACATGTGTTTCAGTGAAATATGGTTGCGAGTGATTGAGATTAAGCAAGTTTTCACTATTCTAGTGGACTGATGTGTGGACACCCTAGGAAGGGCTGTGCAATTCCCATGCAAGATTCTGTATCGACAATACAAAAGGGTTCAGTAATGTCTGCCGTAAAGCTTATGCATTTATAGAATGAACAACACTGTGAAGTCCTAGTTAAAAGTTAGCCAAGCATGCTCATACGTCAGTCAGGAAAAAAAAGAGACCAGGAACAAGTGACAAAGATAGTTCTTGCGAATAACATCAAAACAGCAAAAAGAACAGAAAGAAGGGACGCGTGGGACGCTACGTGCTTGACGGGGAGAAGGGGCGCCGGTGGCAGTGAGGCAGCCAAACCCTCATCCACAAAATGAAATAAATCACCTCAGTGAGGAGTTAATGTGCTACTAGCAAACACCATCTACTACTATGCACCGTAGTGGATATTGCCACAAGTACTTGGGCGCCTCCGCTGTTCTTTCTTTACTTGACTAATTACGCCATGCCTCATGCCATGCCGAGTCCTATGTGCTGCAGTTATTCCAGGGGTAACCGAGATCTACGCTACCTACGGCCTCGTAAGGCGGGACATAAAAGATTATGAAACAAGATTCTGACACCAACTCTAAGAAATGAAGCAGCCATGGTAAGTGCGAGTGGATGGTGAACGGATAAGAAATGGTATTTGTCACTTATAAAAATAATCTTGGACAAATATCACTATAATAATACTAATTTTAAAACAGTGGCACTTTGCTTGGGCAATGGAAATAGCAAGTATTATTGACAAATATCTACATTCCGGACTACAATACATGAGTAAAATGTATAACTTATTGGGGTAAACAAGCGACCGACCGATTACGTAACCGCACACCGACATGACTGAGGTGTGACTTGACCAGCAGGCTGGCCTTGGGTTCGGCTCAGGGCAGAGGACGGGAGTGTGGGGGGACGCGAGAAGGAAGTGCGGAGAGAGGAGTGGGGAGATAAGTGGGGAGGGAAATGCGGAGAGAGAACAGTAAAGTTTATTCGAGTGTTCTGGTTGTAACTCTATATAAATTGCAGATATATTTCTGCAACCGCATTTTCACTAAACCAAGAACGACTTGTTACAACACGC